TGAGGGAAGGCATTGCATGCATGTGAGGGAAGGCATTACATGCATGTGAGGGAAGGCATCGCATGCATGTGCAGACTGCAGCCGCTGACATAACAATGGCGGGCATGGAGGGAAAGCCGTCGGTGGGAGGGCTTCAGTCGGCGGTCATCAGCGCCTTTTCTTGTGTTACATATAAGGAGAGGCTCCTACCGTTGAAGATGCGGAAGCAGTTTGTGAGTCGCGTTATCAGAGGAGAGAGGAACGGGCTGGCAAAAGGTTGAGAGGACGAAGGGTGTGGAGATTCCGTGGACGGTGTCAAAGCGGAGCCTGCGGAGGGGATCGAGAAAGTGGCGGGGAAAAACTTTTGCGAGAGTATAGTTGAGTGACTCCTGGCAATTCTAGAAAAAGATTTGCACGACGGATTTCTACGGTGGGTGGAGTGGTGCCCCCCGAGATTCCCTTGGCTGCGCTACTGCGCCAAGCGCGGTCTATCAGTGTGTGAAGGAACCGCGCGGATACCCGAGTGCGAGGACAGAGGACAACGCAATCTAGTGACATGTGCAGTAACCCGCACTCTGCAGAGGCCGGGCAGTGTGACCACGCACTGCCCGGCCCAGCCCAGCGTCTGGCCAGTGAGACCCAGCGCTGGACTGGGGAAATTCAAAGGTCAAAGTCAACTGTCGGGTCGTAGGTACCGTACCCAAGTCCACGAACAGATACACACATGTGTTGTATACAGGTATCGGGCCAAGACATCGGACCAAGGGAGAAACAGTTGCAGACCGATTCAGGCCATCGCCGCATCAAGATCTTGACGGCACAGGACCACTGCAGCGGGGTATTGACCCCGAGTCAACACTACTTAAAGTTAACTCCTGGCTTTGACATCATTCATTTTGTCGCGAGTCAAGGCTGACTCTACTTTGACGCGACGCTGGCTTGTGACGTGCTGGCTAATTGCTAGCTGGACGTTGGCGTTCTTCAGCGGCGACACGCTGCTTGCTTGCTGGCATGGGGGCTGGCTTGCTCTTGTCTACAAGGTGCTGACGTGGCAATGCCACGTGTCGTTGTTGACGTGGCTGCTGCCACGTAGTGTGTTGGTGACGTGGCAATACCATGTGTTCATTCGCCGTTCAGGCTATCGTCGTCTGGAAGGAGGTCAGGGACTGTGGGGTTAAGATGACACGTACCTGCTTATTGAGATGACATTGCTGCTCCGTTGATGAAGAGAATGCCGATGTGCCACGTGGCACCTTGAGGAACTCAGATCTGTATCTGGATTGACGCTGGTGGAGAGGGGGCGACTCTGATTGGCCCGAAGGAGAAGTGGGCAACTTCTCTTCTGAGTCTTTTCTTCACCTCTCTCTCTCTCTCTCGTCTATGTATGTATATACTCGGATCGTGGAACGGATCTGTTCGACATTATTCATCAACAGGACTGGATTACTCGAGTTGCTTTGTCATTGAGCCATTGGACTATTGCTGCACGAGCGCTGATGCTCGTGCGTTGCCGCGAACAGTATCCGGATGTTCAATGATTGTTATCTCGCTTGGGTTCATTGCAGTTTGGTATCGGAGCAGTTCTTTCGTATCGCCGCGAGAAGGTGCACCACGTGCGCACGTGCGCGCGCTGCCGTGGCGATATACGACGACGATTTTGATGACCACCGTGCATAAGCACGATCACGAGGAGGATCATCACGATCACGAAGGTGATCACGACCTTGATCATCACGACGTCGACCGCGACCACGATCACGAAGAACGTGATCAAGTGGATGATCGTCACGAACACGACCACAATCACGAACGTGATCACGGAAGACACGATCACGAACGTGATCTTGACGCTGAAGAAGAACATCGTGACGAAGTATCACGACGACGATTAAGATCACGAATGTGATCACGATCTTGACGAAGATCATCACAACGACAATCAAGATCACGAATGTGATCACGACCTTGACGAAGATCATCATGACGACGAAGAGCATATGACGACGAAGTTCCATCGGGCCGCGCTTGAGTTAATTGTCGCGCGTGCTCGATCACGACCCGGATGCGCACTGATGACGTGGCGGGAAAAATAGTGGGGGAGAGAGAATGCTGAAACGCGATCTCAACGCGTTCGTCTAGAGAAGAAGCACTCTCCTCCCTTGAAGACTGCGCGCGCCGGTGAGAAGAAGATGATGATGATGATGCTTTGAAGACAAAGACGATCTTGCTGACGTAGCAGAGTTGTATCACATTGGGGAGACCTTGAGCACGGACCTTGAGTGCTGACGTGGCAGGGGGGATACTGACTTGTTGTTGTTTCCCTGTTGACGCGGCTTGATTGAAGTCGTATCTGGGGGCCAGATTGGCTGACGTGGCACCCCCCCTCTTGATTGATTGATCACTTGATGCTGACGTGGCAAGTGTTGTGTGCTTGCTGAGTTGGCATTACCGGGGTGTCACGTGATTGACACGTGTGTGCTTGGGTGAAAGAGCATCCCGCTGACAGTAGCGGTACAGTTGATTGGACAGCTGTAGTGCCAGCTGTCGTGTTGGGGTGCCTATTGCTTTGATCAGGACTGACGCAGGGGATTATTGATGCTGACATATTGATTGTTGTTGATGTTGGCTTGTTTTCCCTGTGTCGTTTGTTTGTCCCGTGCTGGCATACTCACCTGTGTTGTATCTGGTCACTTTGTCTGGATCGGTACCTGCAAAAGCACGTCATCACATTGAGTTAGATAAATAAGAACAGCGAAGAAAAGGAAAAAGAAAAATAATTGAAAATATAATCCACAATTATTTTGCTGTCATTACTCTTGCTGTAATCTGTTGTGTGGAATATGTGAGGCCGCGGAATTAATTATTGTTTATTTTCTGTTTATTGTGCGGTAGATTCTCCACACCGAAATATCTCAGGAAGAGACTGTTCAAACCCCAGTTGAGGGCCAGAGTATTGAGGAGCTCCCTGACCCTCGTACCAGGGCTCAGGTTGAGCAGGGACGACAACTGTTGTCAGGACGGCTCTACCTTTTGGCCACTGAACTGCACGACGCCGGTGCAGAGGTTGAGTCACATGTGAGGGCCCAATTTGATCTGTGGAAAGCCCAGGCAGACCTGGATGCAGCTCAGACTGACACCGACCTATTGAAGATACAGGAGTTCATTATCCAGTGCCGTAAAGCACTGGATGCGCACATCTGTCAGCAGTTCGAAGACATAGCAAATGGCAGAAACGCCAAAGCTGATGTGGTAGTCACGAAACAGACAATTGATGAGAACATCCGACAATTGGAAGAAGCTCTTGAAAAAGAGAAAACGCGCAAGGCAGAAATGCTAAAGAAGAAAGAACAAGATGAACAGCAAGCAAAACGAGAACAAGAAGTCAGACAGCATGTGGTTATTGTGTCAGGGGAAGAACAGGTTGTGGCATTGAACCAAGTGGTTGAGTACCTCGCTCACTTGGAGACAATGCTCGACCATTTTGAAGCAAAGTTGGAAGAATTGACCGTAGGATTGAAGAATGTGACTAACTTGGTCAGAGGAAAGGAAAAAGAGGTTCGGAAGGAACAACCTGTGAAGAAACTAATGGGTGATGCTATGAAAGATCTCAAGGTCAAAGTAAAGAAGGGGGAACCATCTGGGCCTCCCTCACCGACGCCACCACCATCCAGTCCTCACCCATCAGGAGGAAAGAAAGATAAAGAAGAGAAATCTGAGAAGCCAATGCAGAAGGAAAAGGTAAAGATGAAATTGCCTTTCACGATCAGTAATAAGAAGGATGAAAACTTATTACAGTGGATTGCAGAAATACAGATCTACGTCGGGACGACCCCCGTAGAAGAAGAATCACAGGTCGCCTTCTCCACGTCGTGTCTTGGAGGGGAGGCCAAAAAGTGGGTCCTGGCCGAAGCTAATGCAGCCGGATTCGATAATATTGGTAAGTGGGCCAGTACGATTACCCTGAAACAGTTCCTGGACAAGATCCGGGAACGTTTCCTTGACAAGACAACGACCGATAAGGCCTTCGATCAGCTCACTACCATAGGTCAGAAAAATAGGACGTCTGCGGAGCAGTTGTCCCGTGAGGTCGATCGATTGCTGCAAGTACCGGACTTAAATCTGCAGGATGATCAGGTCCTGTATATTTATGCCCGGGCCTTACCTGAACCTATAAGAGGTCAGTTAGTGGCCGAGTCAAAGTCAGGTAAGTACAAGTATCGGCAATTTCGTGATTTGACTCTCCAGAGAGAGCAAATGACTTCTCAAGTTAAACATTCATATGCATCTGTGGTGAAATCTGGTGGTGCAGGTGCAGGTGCGAGATACGGTAAGCGAGTCCTTTGGCGCCAAAAGCCTCAGGACCACACGCTTGTCGTCTTTGACGACGACACAGTGGAGAAGCTACCAATAGAAGAAGAAGGAGTTCCCAGCAGCAGTGAGTCCGGAAAGGGGGACGTCACTGCTGCCGTGGTCAACAAAGGAGGACCACGAGGTCCGTATCGAGGGAGGAAACCATGCTCGTTTCCTGCGCACCCAGGCATCGTGGCATTCAAGCCGTGGGAAAAGATGGAGATTGACCAAAAGACCTGGCAGGAGAGAATGGACAATGCGCAATGTTTGAAGTGTGGAAAGGAGGGACACATCATTGCATGGTGTCCACTCATCCGACACCCAAAAGCGAGCCGCCAGTAGGAGTTGGAGAAGTCAGGCGATGAGAAAGGTAAGGCGCATACTAACCCTTTCACTTCTTCCACTCGCGTGACAAAGAATGGTTGTTATTCGGCCCATCATCCAGATCACCCTGAACCTTTCTTATGTTCTGTCTCTCTAGATGACTCCTTTGATGAGCTTGGTAATGAGTTGCTAGCACTACGAAGCTCATGGGCAAAGAAAGCAAAGTCTAAGGGTGAACTATTACTCGCAAATGTAGAGATCGCACACGAACGGACGGGTGCACTTTTAGACTTAGGATCTACACGATTCTACATTTCTGAGAGAGCTATTCGCAAGCTTCATCTTGGAATGAAGGTAAAATGTTTAGCACGACCTATCACGTCTATTCTTGCTGATAAAAGCACGATCACTGTCTCTCATTATGTCAATCGTGTGAAATGTAAGTTCAGGACTAAAACTGGAAAGAAGATTGTGCACGAAATCTCCTTCCTAACTAGTTCTTCACCTTATGGAGCATATGTATTATTTGTGCCCAAAAAGGAAGGTGAGTTGCGTCTATGCATTGACTATAGAGGGTTGAACTCCGTCACTGTGAAAAACGCTGAACCCCTTCCACGAATTGACGACTTGTTGGATCAGCTGCAGGGATGCAAGTACTTCAGCAAGACTGATCTGAAGTCGGGATACCACCAAATCGAGGTGGCGCCCGAAGATCAACACAAGACTGCTTTTCGAACCAGGTATGGACACTACGAGTTTGTGGTCATGCCCTTCGGATTGACGAATGCCCCTGCGACCTTGCAAAGGTCTATGAACGAATTGTTTCGAAAGTGGTTGGATCAGTTTGTAATTGTGTATCTCGATGATATCCTAGTCTATAGCAAAACGTTGGAGGATCACGAGAAACACTTGCGTCCCGTCTTGGGTAAGCTACGCGAAGGTAATTTCAAACTTAACCCAAGAAGTCTGAGTTTGCAAAACCTGAAGTGCTCTACTTAGGGCATATAGTCAATGAAGAAGGACTCAGACCGGAAGCGAAGAAAATTTCAGCGATTAGAGATTGGCCACAACCAAAGTCCAGCACTGAGTTGAGGTCCTTCCTTGGGTTAGCCAGTTACTATAGAAAGTTTGTTAGGAACTTCTCCTTAGTTGCTGCTCCCATGAGAAGACTCCTGAAGAAAGGAACCGTATGGTTGTGGGACAA